CCCTCATGTCACGGATCCCTCACTTACTGCAGCGCTCCAGCGTGGGCCCCGGGAGGCTGACAACGGGCCTCCTCGGGGCTGCAGCGCTCCAGCACGGGCCCCGGAAAAGCCGACGACGGGCCTCTTTGGGCCTCCCCGGGGCCACAGCGCTCCAGCACGGGCCCCAGGAGGCCCGCAATGGGCCTCCTTGAGCCTCCCTGGGGCCACAGCACTCCAGCGCAGGTCCTGGGAGGCTGACGATGGGACGCAGCATGGGGAGCTTGCTGCCACCGCCATTTGTGCCAGCTCCTGGGCTGCCGGAACAGTGCTCCGGTGCGCTCCAACCCCAAAAGACCCCTGGTTTCCAATTATTGTCATGAACTGAGGTCAAAATGTAAGCAATCACATGTTAGATGCCTCCAGGACTGTGTGAATTTTCCTTCAGACAGCTGTTTATTCAGGCTGAAGGCAACATACAATTTTGACTCCCAACAGATCTAGAACTCATATTATTCTAACAAGTACATCACGCTGGCTCATAATGATGAAATTTGAATTGTCTATTATCATTGGGGGAACATTTCAGTCTTCCAGGACACTCTGTTGCTGACCTAGAAGTCACTGTTCCTTAACAAAAGAATTTCCAAGGAAGACTTCAGTCTGAAATTTCAGAACTAGAATTTATTTTTGCTATTGCAGACTAAAATGTCTACCTCCCCTTCTATAATGTTTTCTCCGGTCACTAAACCAACCACTTAGGGAGAAGAAGTCAGTGGCCTGTGTTACAAAGCAGATGTCATCAGTCTTCAGAAGTATTTATATCTGTGGTGTGGCTCATTTGGAGTCTTAGTGATTCATTGTCAGACTCTGCCTCCTGGGGGGTCAGAGTCCAGGATGCATGCACCCTCCAGTCTCTTCCTTTCTCTGGCACGCCCCATACACATCTCAGCTGGGTAGGTGGGTGACAATATCCTTGGCTCTCAGTTCCCAGCTCTCAGTCCACTCTTTGACGGCTTAGGTATAACTGAGCCTGTCCTCCCCAACTGCCTTGTGGTTGTGTCTAATAAAGGCCTGCCTGGAGGAGGGGCCACCCCAAGCTCTGCCAATGTCCTCCAATTAGGGGTGGGGCCTGGCTCATTATCAGTTTCTGAGCCAATGGGCCTCCTCGGTTTCTTCCTCCCTCATCAGCTCCACCTGACCTGGGGCTTCAAAACAGTCTTCTACTGGATGGTGCTGTTCCTGAGAAGTCACTATCTCCTGTCTCTAGGCTCCTCCTGTGACTTCTAGCCCTTGGCCTGTGATGGCTAGTGGTTGCTGGATGTGCTGGTGGTGAGGCCTCCTCCCTGCCCCCCCCAGCTGTTCTTGGCAGGTGAGTCTGCCTGTGTGCACACTGCCTATCTGGCTGCTTCCATCACTTCACTGCTGCTGTAGTGCTCTGCTCTGCTGGGCCATGTGGGGTGGAGTTTTCCTGCCCTGCCTAGCCTTGTCCTGGTGGTAATGATGGGTGGGTGGAGAGGGCTTTTCCAGTCCTGGACATTCATATTTTTTAAACAATCAACTGGGCCTATATGTTGAGTACCTACCTCATTGCTTCAGAATAGCGTTGCCAAGTCTCTTCCTTGCACTGGCGGGGGGATTTGAGGGGCATTCCAGGGGTGGGTGGGGATGCTGTGTGATGTACTGTTGTCCCCCAGAAGTGATGTCAGCATGTCGGCAACGTTGGGGGTGATGCTCTTCTTTTTGGGCAAAACTCTATGGTAAAAATGGACTCAAACCGTAGAGTTTTGCCCCAAAAGCAGAGTGTTGCCCCCTGACATCACCGATGTCCCTTACAGGTGATGTCAGCATGTCACACATGGCATTGGGGGTGGAGGGAGTTTCCTCTCACCGGCCAGCTGGACAATAGTGTTATGTACTAGACTATGAACTACATACTAAGCTTCAGTCCTTGCTTCATAGAAGCCCAGTATCCTGATCTGACAGTTCTCATTCGCTCCTCCTGACAGCAGGCCAATCAAAGCGCAGCAGTGTACTTGGAGGGAAAGCATTCTATTGGTCTTTATTGTGTAAATATGATTGGTTCTTACCATTCTACTGGGCGTGGTTTCCCCAGCCCGGGATGTTTAAATAGAGCTGTGGCTCCTATGGGTTTTTGTGTCGGATCGTTCTTGTTAATAAAGTTGAAATCACTTGGTTAAGAGCTGCCTGAGTCTGATTCACTTCAAATAGTATCCCTACTTCAAAAGAAAAAGTGAGATAGCAAGAAGAGTACCTGTCTGTCCTACAGATAGTGGACTGGATCCAGCCAGCTTTTTTATTGGTGGAAATAAAGGAAGAGTTCCCCTTTACCACCAAAAAAAGCTATGCTGGGGATCATGGGAAAGCCACGTGGAAAAGGGCAGTAATAGGCAAGAGGACTGGGCAAGACAGAGTGGAAAAACTTGCCTAATTCAACCCCACATTAATATGACAAGAGAAATTAATGGCAAGAAATAATCTCAGATTAAGTTCTGGACCAGATTTTCTTTTGTTATCCAAAACTCCAACACGTACATTGCTTTTCCTCTGCACTACTGATCTGGGTTCTTCCATTTCAGCCCAAACTGTAAATAATTACCGAAAAATGTATGTTTCTTTGGTTTTTTTGAAAGCTTTCAGATTTGTACATTGAGATGTCCTCTGAGACCCCTCATCATGGAACCAACAGTACCAATGAAAAAATCAAGAGACGAATCTGTTTACCAGCTCAGTCCTGGACACACTTGGATGAAGATCTTCCAGCTCCAAAAGCAGCCATAGATGCCCCTCATTCCTCTAGACATCTTGGTAAGAAATTGTAAAAGAATAGCTGAGGTGTTTTGTTTTAGATTTTGTCAGCAAAGGGCCCCTTACCTTCTTGCCATCGTAGCTGTGTTGCTTGAATAAAGATTAAAATCCCAGTTTGTCCTCATTCTGCCACACTTGATATGGGCTGAGCTGTTATCTAGGCCCTTAGATGTTCTTGTTTTGTTCTGATGCCCTTATACATTATCCACAGCTGGAAAATGAAGCCCTTCATTCTCTTATCTGAAATAATATTCTGTCATAGATACTCAAAAGACTCTAAAGCTATTATTATGCAGATGTCATTCTGTCTTCAGAAACATGAAGATTCCACTGAAAGAAAGATCAGTAAATAGTGCTACTGTTTGGTTTCTAATTGTTTTCCTGAGGGCTCACTACATCACTCTGTGGCCAACAGCACTTCTTAATCAATCCATACAGAGGAGCAGGGGCATGGGAAAGACTTAATCATATTTAATTCTTATTGTTTACTCAAGTGCTATATTTGTCACATGCAAATGTGTGTGAGGAGGAACCATTACAGCAATCTTCTTGTTTGATCCATTTGCCTCTAATTCTGCACTTCTGTGCTTGAAATACCTACCACTACTTGTTACTATTTTGTTGTGTTGGGGCTGTTGTACTGGTGCCTATGTTGATACTAGTAGTCTAATAAAAAGGCAAAGGTTCCCTTGCCCGAAAGCCAGTTGAATCCGGCTCTAGGGTTGCGGTGCTCATCTCCGTTTCAAAGCGAAGAGCCAGCGCTGTCCGAAGATGTTTCCGTGGTCATGTGGCCGGCATGACTAAACACCTAGGCGCACGGAACGCTGTTACCTTCCCACCGAAGTGGTACCTATTTATCTACTTGCAATGTCTTGCTTTCGAACTGCTAGGTTGGCAGGAGCTGGAACTAGAGACGGGAGCTAGTAGTGTCCTATACAGACTTCAGTGGATTTTGAAGGGTGTAGCTCTGTTTAGGACTGCATTGCAAAAGGACTATTATTACAACAGGATTTACCGTATTCCCACAGTGTGTGGATTGTACATTTGCAATGCTCTAATACAGAGCACAGCTCTTCTGCAAAGAAGCATTCTGTCTGGAATTGGTGACTTGAACGTTGGGTTAGGATCTGGGATACCCAGGTTCGAATCTCCACTTGTCCATGGAAGGCTAGTATAGTAGTGACCCTGACTTCCTTGTGGTTTCCCATCCAAATACTAACCCTGCTTAGCTTGTGATTGGGCTAGCCTGGGCCATCCGGGTCAGGGCACTGGGGAAAAAAGCAGGGTATAAAATAAATTTTATTTTTCCAGGCTGCATCTATCACCAATATTGGCCATTCTGGAAACTTAAGAAAAATATTACTATATATCTTTCTCTATATAATAAGCAGAACCAAAGAACCCTTTCACACCCGTTCTTCCTGGGGAGGCTCTGATGTGCCTTCCGTCTTTGATGGGTTCTTCATCTTCAATGCTTCTGCCTGAGTTCTGGTGTCAGGCTTCCAATGTCCTGCTGCTGTTCTTCTACCTTGTGATAGTCTCACATCTCTATCCAGGCCCCATAAGTTTCTTTTTCGTACTGCTATTCTTTTGAGATCTCCTATTGCATTAATTTTTATAGCATTACTCAGGGCTATTTTTGGGCAAGAACGCACAGGAACAGAGTTCCGGCTGGCTCCTGAGTTGGCCACGCCCAGCAGGAACTCATTAGCATAATAGGCCACACCCACCAGCAGAAACTCATTAGGATTGGCTACATTAGGGGTGTGTGGCCTAACATGCAAATAAGTTCCTGCTACAAAAAAAGCTCTGGGTTTTGACAACAAACAAGGTAAACAATATAAGAAGCAAAAGGTTGGTGTGGCTGGATGACCACACTTCTGGTAACACGTGGGTACGGCCTAATATGCTAATGAGTGGTGCTGTCAGGGTTGTGGCCTAATATGCTAATGAGTTTCTGCTATTGGGTGTGGCCTATTATGCTAATGAGTTCCTGCTGGGCTTTTTCTACAAAAAAACCCTGTCATTACTGACTTCAGTCCCTAGCTTGCTCCTTGGCAACAGAAACTGGAACCAAGGTCACTCTAGGAACAGAAAGTTTCTTCTGTCACTGCATTCTGACAGACCGCTGCCCTGAATGTTCTTGTTAATAGAGGAGGGAGTGAACCACCCTGTAATAAGATGTATGGTACAATCCTAAACAGTTGCAGTCTTCTAAAGTCAGTTGAAGTCAAGGGGCTTAAAGGTAAAGGTAAAGGTTCCCTCGCTCGAAAGCCAGTCGAATCCGACTCTAGGGTTGCGGTGCTCATCTCCGTTTCAAAGCCGAAGAGCCAGCGCTGTCCGAAGACGTTTCCGTGGTCATGTGGCCAGCATGACTAAACACCGAGGCGCACGGAACGCTGTTACCTTCCCACCGAAGTGGTACCTATTTATCTACTTGCAATTTCTTGCTTTCGAACTGCTAGGTTGGCAGGAGCTGGAACTAGAGACAGGAGCTCACCCTGTCTTGCGGCACCCGGGTCTTGAACCGCTGAACTACTGACCTTCCACAGCCTGCAGTTCACTGTTAAAATAGTAACAAACATTGCATATATCAGGAATGGGCAGGCTTGTGTGTAGGCTTGCCATTTGCCAGCCTGCAGGGAGTAAGCCCCCACCCTCAAGAAACTGAAGAGCAAGAGCAAAAGGGTGCAAACTGGCCTCCATAGCACTGCTGTAGGAATTGCCCCATGTCTCTGTGGTCAGATTTTCAGATTTAGATTTATTAATACGGTCAAAGACCAGCATAAATCATGTACATGGATATACAATGTCTCTGTGGTCTAGGGTTGCCAGGCGTGATCATTGCACCAGCGGGGGAATTTGGGGGTGGTCCAGGAGTGGGTGGGGATGTTTATGATGTGATGACAGCATGCAGAAGTGATGTCATCATGTCAGTGACATCGGGGGTGACACTTTGCTTTTTGGGCAAACTGTATGTTTAAAATTGGGCTCAAACCACAGAATTTTGCCCAAAAGTAAAGCGTCACTGTGCGATGTTGCCGATGCGATGACGCCACTTCAATGAGATGTCATTGCGTCAGGGGCGTCACTGGGCAACATTGCTGTTCAGGGGTGGGGCATCTCCCACCGGTCAGCTGGTCAGCGGTGGGCAGAAGCCCTGAAAATCAAGGGACCCCCCCATCCAGACTGGCAGTCTGGGAACCCTACTGTGGTTCTTACAACAGAGTAGGAGAAATTCCTAGAGCAGGAGTCCCCAGCGTGGTGCTTGAGGGCACCTTGGCGCCTGCCAACGTCTTTTTTGGCACCTGCCAAGGGCTTTTAGGAAGTGGGTGGGGCCAGGTAGGGCTTTTGCCCAGCAAGGCTTCTGATTGACTATTGGAGATCTGATTGACTGTGCAGATCTTTTTTTAAACGTTGCCACCACAGCACAAGGATCTTCACTGTGTTACTGAAGTTAAAAGTGTGGCAATTATTTTCTGACTGGTTCCACCTCCTGTGGCGGCCATTTTGTTGCTGCCCCCACCACGCCATATCAGAATTCCAAATGTGCCAACAGGGTCAAAACGGCTGGAGGCCCCTGTCCTAAAGCATCCTCAGGAAGTGACATCATGTCCTCTCCAATTCTGCCATCCCCAGCCACTTTCTCAAAATCTGGCATTTGGTGTGGTAGTACTGGCAACCCTACTTGTGTATGATACACTAAAAAAGAAAAAGAAAAGAACAAACAGCTAGAACTCCAAGGTCTGCCAACCAGAGCCAGAGGCAAAATGGTGGTTCAGGGAGGCAAAACGAATAATTTCATACTGTTCATGAGCTATACACTCAGATGACCTATTTACATATTTACAATGAAATAAATGTAGTAGAAGAAGAAGAGATTGGATTTATACTCCGCCCTTCACTGGGAGTCTCAGAGCGGCTTACAAACTCCTTTCCCTTCCCCTGCCCACAACAGACACCCTGTGAGGTGGGTGGGGCTGAGAGAACTCTGACACAAACTGCTCTTTTTCAAGGACAGCTGTGCCAGAGCTTGTGACTGACCCAAGGTCACATCAGCAGGTGCAAGTGGAGGAGTGGGGAATCAAACCCAGTTCTCCCAGATTAGAGTTCGCACACTTAACCACTACACCAAACTGGTGTTTTCTAACCCCAACACTCACACACAAACAATGGATGGCAAAGCTGCACAAATCTGGTCAAAAGGCAATTATCAATTAATCTTATATTTTGTTTAGGAAGAATATTGAGGCTAATAGACTGCAGGTCACAATCCATGACCCAATAAGGGGTTATTCCTCTTCCACAATTGGCAGTGGAGCTCTTATCTACATGCCCGCTCATTTGACACAGTACAGCATAGCCATTCTGAAATGTTTATTCTCCTTTTTTGTTTGTATTTAATTGTTTTAGCCCATTATTCATACTGCACCATTCTGTTCTCCTTCTTCTTCTTAACTGGAGTGTACTATTAATGTTATCCTGTATCGACTACCTTTATTTGCCATGACTAACACAGCTAAATGTAAACACAAGGATTTGTACCAGCAAAAATGAGAAGGCTGAGTTATCTTGTAAAGCATGTTTGGTAGCTTTGTAGTCAATTATGCTTTCATCTCTAATTTTTAGTTGACCAAACAGAAGAAAACATTTGCAACTGGCAGGACTCTGGTTTCTAGTAAGTATGAGCATTCCCTTCTGAATAGAATAGTTGAGCCATCAAAAATAATTCCATACACTACATCATTTATTTATTTTTTGAAATATGTTATTTCAGTATTAAGAACTGAACTGTGCTTCCAGTGCTGGACCATACTTAGTTGGGGGGGGAAATCCAACTGCAACTGCAATCAATGAAACTTCCTGGCCTAATTACGTATTATGCTGTTTCCAGGTCTGGCCCAGCTCTGCCATGGCTGGAGCTACCAGCAAATTTTAACGTGTAATTCTCAGAGGCCTGGGCCCTTGATTTGGATAGGCTACATGTACGTTTCCCAAAGGGGCAAATAACAGCCCTGGGGGGCTAGTTTGGGTTAGGAAAATGGCACAGGATGGGGAAGGCTTAAGCCCTTTCTCTCCACATGTCATAGTTCTGATCCGAATCAGGCCTCCATGACCTGATAAGAAAGTTTTGGCACAGAACTCTCAGCACTCATCTGACTTGTCAGGATTTGAACTGGACAGAGAAACAGTCTAATGTGTGGCTAGCTGTGCTGAAATGGGCAAGTTAATATGGAATTTACAGGTGTGTTTAAAAGGCTTTGATAATGTTGAAACAGATGGACCTGTAAGCAATGTTCCCTCTAAACTGTGGAGTCTTGTGAGCAAAAAAACTACTTTGTGAGCAACTGTCATTAAAGTTGTGAGCGAGCGATTTGGCTACTGAATAAATCAGTTTGCTCTGGAGCCATCCCTTCCTGAGCTGAGACAGAAATGTGTGAGCCAGAGGCTAAAAAACTGTGAGCTAGCTCACACTAACTCAGCTTAGAGGGAACCCTGGCTGTAAGAAAGATGTCAGAGGGACCATAATACAGTTGGGGGCAATTGTAACCATTCCAGAGCCATCTCTTCCTTAGAGCTATAATAAGCCACACTTTGTCTATCTCAAACATTAATTTTGTGCTGCTTCATGCATAGTAATACATTTTTGCCTTCGGACTTCCTCATTACCCAAGTTCATGGGAGACTTTGACTGAGTTCTGGCCTGCTTCCTATTGGCAAGGATGATACCTTTTAAATCTAAAAGGGCCATGTTCAACAATTCTACTGGGATATTCAAGAATGCCCTCTTCATTATTTTTTTTTAAAGTCATTTGTTTCTTTTATATTGTTCGTGCAGGGTTTTTTTTTTACAGCTTTCATATGCTATGTGCAACTGAGACACAATAATCGTCACCACATCTAAAAATCTTTGCAAATATAACTGAAAATATTTGGCAGGAGAAAACAGATAGCGACACAAAAATGAAGAATGAAGTTTCAGGAGATATGTTCACACAGGGGAGAGTGACATTGGACGAGGGATTGAAATGAGGGGGTTGTGAAACTGGAACACTTCTAATTCTCAGTTAGAGAATCCCAGGACTGTGAGACCCCATGGAGAGTGGCTAGCAGTCAGAACTGGTGGTATCGGGATAGATGGACCATAACTTGGACCCAGGTGAACATATTCTGAGGATAAAACCAAACATGACACAGATAATGGGGCCCAAATCAGCAGCCCTGCATCCAGTTCTGCCTTCACTTTATAAATAGCGAAAGATATGATGCAGCAGCATCATATCATGTGTTTCCATGGCTTGACACTGCAGAGGATTTCCTTGAGTGGAGGGGGACACTCTCCCCTCTCGTGCAGCAGAGCTCTGACTTCCTCCCTCATGCTGTTTCTGTGGATCCCCAGGAGCAACTTTTGGGGGGGACATTTTGGGCTGCAGCAGGAGGGTGGAGGTGGGAAATCCTACTCCACTGATGGAAATCTTTTCTGTCATGCAAATTTCCTCCCAACAGAAGCCCATGTCCTCTCCCCACTCCTATGGTAGCCAACCATATGGAGCAGTGGTGGGAAAACGTGGCATATAATGATGTCAACATGGTGAGTTTTATTTCCTAAGCAACATGGGAAGAGAAGGGAGAACTGGGTGGTGGGACTAGTTGTGCTCTGAGATGGCATACTTGTTTACCACTTTCTTCCTTATAGCATCAAGATGATGGAGTATATTCTTCAGAATTATTTAGGACTTTCGTGTGAATTACACTTTCCTATATGGTGGCCAAGTTGACTGCTTTGGCAGGCAACTTCCTAAGGTCTGCCTTGGTCCCCTGCCACCACTTGATAGGGCAATGGGGGGGGGGAATGGCAGTGGGGGGGAGGCAGTAGTCCACAGTGCCACAATATCACTTCTGGTTAAGCAGCCAGAAGTGACATTGTGGCATCGCAGAATAATATTTTGGCCCCTGCCCACTCCTCCCTCCCACTGGAAGTGACATCCCTGCATCACAGTAAGCTCTGGGATTCAGCTGGAACTCTATGGTTTACTGCATGGTTACACAGACAGAACTGATGTCTATAATGGTTACAGATTATAGGTACCACTATAGTGAGTGACACTGCAGGAAGCCATTTTGGTAATTCTTCCCCCCCCCCCATCTCCTGGGGGTTGCAAGCAACCCCGTTAGGAACTAGTTTCCTAAGGCTGCAATCCTAGACACACTCACTTGGGAATAAGTCTGACTAAATACAAAAGTCAATAGTATAGGAGCATGCTTACGCTATGAAATCAGCCAACAGTAGGGTCTAGGATCTAGAAAATCTGAAGCAGTTAGCAGAAGAGCATCCCTCTTCTATTAGAAAGATCCGTTGTCACATCTGTTCTGTTAATAAATGAGTCTGAGTTCTGGCCATTTAATTATTTTTCTTGAATGTCATCCCTCCTCCCCAAATTTCCTTTTTTTGACAGCTTATCTGCAAGCCACGATTTACAAGAAAGCAGAGACAAAGCAGGTAATAAAATACTTGTATTCCAGTGTTTGACATGCTATGATGTCAAGATGTAAAGTGCTTCATTAGAAATCCTTCACAAACATCACTCCATTTATTTAACTATGACAAACATTTGCACTGTGTTGTTTGATCAGACTAACTCCTGTGCTGTAGACATGCAATCAAACAGGGCACGGGCAAGGACCACAGTCCAAAGCAGGAAAAAAAGAAGAAGCAGATTATTAAACTGACAGCTGTCTTAACTCAGTTTCTGTCTCATTTATAATGTCACCCACGCCTTTCTCAAACAACCCTTCTTTCCCCTGTAAATGGTCTGTTCTCTTCTTCCACGTTTTTATGGCTCATACCAAATGGAACACATATTACTGGACTGAATCCTACTAGACTTTCTGCCAGCCAGAGAGGGTGGAGGTAGTAGAGGTGCATGTGTAATAATTTTTGTAATAATTTCAGATCCAGACTTAGGGTAGGGCATTGTTTTCATTATCCTGATTTTTCGCAAGTATTGTTACTGGTTCAGGGGTTTTTGGGAGGTCCTGAAAAGTTGAAATCATTATGTTTGTCATGCCCTCTGCTTGGAGGCAGCAGGGGCGGGGATGTAGGAGGGAAAGACAGAAAGCCATCCCTGGACACGCCACCGTTGTTCTCGCTGGAGTCTTCTCTCTACCACCAGCATCAGAGGCAGCAAAGCTGATGCTCTCATAAGTCTCTAGCTCTGTCCATTGCAGAGGTATAAAAGAAAAGGCATATCTCTACAAGAGAAGGAGTTAGAGGCTTACTTTTTAGAAAATAAAAGCTGGGAATTCAGAGAACCTGATACACGTATTACTATTGTGTTTTATCAGTACAGCACTATTCATCAGCTTCATTTGTGACGGCTTTTGAGCAGTAAAATGTTTGAATTGAAATTAATTGACCATTAGCTGTTAGTTACCAACTTCAAGGTGGTACCCGGACTTTTCCTGGAATTAAAACAAGAATGTTTGCAAATCATAATGCCAAAAATGATTTCAACAGCTACACAATATTTTCACAGTTAGCCTTTCCTCCCTGGCTCAAAACCATTTAGCGCATTGGCACACTGTTCCTCACTACAGTGCTAGGCAGGGGAGTTAACCTTTCCCTGCTAAATTGGTGTGCAGCTCTGTGTCCTTCTTTATAATATTTCATGACATTGTTCTGGGGTCGTACTGAATTTCGTTTAGCAAGGAAAACCCTCTATTAGTGCATACCAGTATATTGCTGTGGGTACAGCGGTGGAGCTAGGTTCTGTTCACACTTACAAAATTGAATCAAGTACCTGACGTTAGAAAGCAATAGCAGGGCCAAAATCTAAAACAATATATGAACTAGTTGTACATAAAAAAATACACGTATGTATTACAAAAGACATTTAAAAGTGTATCAGAGCCCAACACAAGCCTCATAATATAGTAAAAAGTAACATAGGTCCAAGAGAAAACAATAGTGACCTAACGTGTTTCAACCCAATTGGACCTTATTCAGAGGTCAAACAATAGAAGGTACAAATAGGCTCTTATTACAATCAAAAGACAGTACATGAGTAGAAATAAGATCAAAACAGGAGTGCTGTGAAATTCAGCATGACAGCTGCAAAGGTAACTTCATGGTTATGAACTCCAAGGGTGGGTTTTTTTTTTTACTTTTACAAGAAAATCACAGAGTTGAAGATGTACAGAAGATGTAATTCCTTTAGTGAAAGGTTAAATTTCAAGGTAAGGCATAAAAAGATGTCGACATATACCCCAGAGGGATCATTATTTGCACAATCAGCTATTCTGTTCCAAGCCTCAGGCAGCAAGAAGGATTTGAACAGAAGGCCAGGTGATAAGGAGAGACATTAACATTGATGTTCACCACCTCGGGAACCCTATTTGGGTGAAAAGGTGTCATATAAATGTTATAAATAATAAATAATATAAATAATAAATAGGAATAAGTGGTTCTCACAATGGAGGGGAATGAGCAGTGGGGTCCTACAAGGATCAGTATTGGGAATAGTGCTATTTAATTTGTTCACAAATTATCTGTAATTGGGGGTGAATGTGTGGTGGTCAAGTCTGCACATGATACCGAATTATTCCGAATGGTGAAAACCAAGGTAGATTGTGAAGAGCTCAAGGAGGATCTCTCTAATTGGGTGAGTCGGCAACAATGTGGCAAATGAAGTTCAGCATAGGCAAGTATAGGTTGATGCACACTGGAACAAAAAAATCCTAACTCTAGACGTATAATGATGGTGTTTGAACTGACTGAGACTGAGAGGGAAAGACTGACCCTCCCAGGCCCCAAAGATGTCAGATTGGCTACAACCAGGGCCAGGGCCTTCTCAGTGGCGGCTCCGTACTGGTAGAACAAGCTCCCAGGAGAGATCAGGCCCCTGCGGGACCTTCTACAGTTTCACAGGGCCTGCAGGATGGAGCTCTTCCACCAGGCTTTTGGTGAAAGAGCCACCACCAACAATACCACCATCACCACCATCACTAACAACAACAAATGAGAAATACAGAGCCCTGTTCACTGGTTCCACTGTTTACAGCCTATGTCTGCTGCATATGATAGAGATCAAGGAGCTGATGAGCAAGGCAGACCATAGAATATGTTAACATGAATGTTGCCGCCATCCCTAAGTATATACATCTAGCTAGCACTTTATGACATTGGATTGTTTTTAGAAGGTTTTATCTATGTTATAATTGTTTACTTATATTTATCCTTCTGTAAGCAGCCCTGAGCCTGCTTTGGTGGGGAGGGTGGGGTATAAATTGAATAAATAAATAAAGAGATCTAGGGGTTGTAGTGGATAGCTCAATGAAAATGCTGACTCCGACTCCAAAGAAACTGGAAATAAAACAGGCAATATGCTAATGACCTTATTTGGATTACTGTGTAGAGTTCTGTCACCATATTTCAAGAAGGATATTGCAGAGGTGGAAAAAGTACAGAAGGGGGATCAGCCCAAGTAATTAAGGGTTTGGAGCCCCTTTACTCTGAGGAAAGGCTAAGAAATATGAGACTTTTCAGTTTAGAAAAAAAAGATTATTGAGGAGGGACATTAGAGGTTTATAAAACTGTGCATGAAGCAGAAAAAGTGGATAAAAAGAACACACACACCCCCATAATCCTAACACTGAGGGGCAACCAATGACATAGATTGGTCAAAGAGTCAGGACAGACAAAAGGAAATATTTCTTTCCTCAAGAAGTAATTAAATTGTAGAATTTACTGCCAGTGGGTGTAATGCTGGCTTTAAAGGGGGGGGGGGTTAGACGGATTCATGGATGGCTTCAAAAGGGGGTTAAACAGATTCATGGAGGAAGGGTCCATCAATGGCTACTAGCCATGCCAGGGCTCTTTTTGTAGCAGGAACCCCTTTGCATATTAGGCGACACACCCCTAATGTAGCCAATCCTCCAAGAGCTTACAGAACTCTCCTTACAGGGGCTACTGTAAGCTCTTGGAGGATTGGCTACATTAGGGGTGTGTAGCCTAATATGCAAAGGAGTCACATTCAGAGGAGGTATACCTGTGAATCCTAGTGCTAGGAGACGACATCAGGGGAAAGCCTTGGCTCTGTGCCCTGTGAGTTGTCCCTCTAGGGTAATTGGCCGATGTGTGAAATGGGTTGCTGGACTAGATGGACTACTGGGCCCACTGGACATCCAGCAGGCCTGTTCTTATGGGATGGCAGGTGGGACTGATGGCCTCACACACACACACCCGTTAAGCCAGTATTGAATGTTAACCAGCCCCAGATTTACTAACTGCTGTAACTGAACCAGTTTCCATAGATCTCCTTAAGTGAGCCAATCTTGACCCAGTTGTATAATGGCTGTTTCTTGTAGTGCTGGGCTGAAATGTGGGCAAAATGCAGCACAGTCCAAGAATAAACTCCTTTGATCCAAAGAAGCTGGATAAAAGTCTGTTTTATTTTTAATAGTATCTGTTGTGTTGCAGTCAATGCATGTCAGATCTCAAATACCTACTCAGTGGAAAAGCAAAGATAAGGCTCTCGGTTTCTTTGCCCATTTCAGTAAGTTACTGTTGCTACATTTTGGCTTCCTTATCCAAAGTGAGTGGTTTAATAAAAATACCAAACATACTGGAAAATAAATATCCATGAACTGTGTTGCCTTCCAGGTCTTTTACCTCCCCTGGAAATGGTACAAATGACTGTGCAGAACTACATGCGGTAAGTTTCTCATATTGACTTCAGAGGCATTTCAGAGTTCCCAAAAAGCCATTCCATTAATTATCAGTGACTTAAAACTGTGAGATGGCAGGAAGAATATTTGCTAGCTTAATGATGACATGTACATTTTTCTAGTAATAAGCAAAATGTGCTATGTATAATTAGCCAGAATGGCATGTGGGTGTTAATGTAAAATTTCCATGCTAAAATATGGACAAACCTTTCATCTGGCCCACCTTTCATGCTAAACACAATCAGGTGACAAGAAAGGTAAATGGCTACCATATCTCTATCTCTAATCTATCTATAGCTATCATCTGTCATCTGTCTGTCTGTCCATCTATCCACCTCCTACAGGATATGGATCACAACAGGGGCTGGTTCACACAATGAGATTCTCCTGCACACAAGCAATAATCATACAGGGAAACCATAAGAAGATCTGTCTGCCTACCTACCTATCATCTATCACCTGTCTGTCCATCTATCTGTCTGTCCATCCATCTGTCTGTCTGTCTTTCTGTCCATCCGTCCATCCATCCATTCATCCATCCATCCATCCATCTTTCACTAGATATGGATCAGAACTGCTGGTTCACACAGTCAGATTCTTCTGCACACAAGCAATAATCATACAGGGAAACCATGTGAAGATCCAAGGCTGTACATTGAGCTGGCTGGTGGTCATTTTTGTTATTTTGGCTGCTGTAATCATAGCTGCAACAGTTGCTATATACATTTATCTATGTTAATATACAAATACAGATATACAGACACCTGTTAGTATGCAGATATAGCTGTAGTAAGTCCATTTCCCCTCCATGTGTACTTAGTAAAAAGCATTAAGACTAAAACACATAGTACTAAAAGCTATGTACGGTTTTTTGTTTTCAGATTAATCAGTATGAGTTAAACCCACCACACAATGACTTTGCAGAAGTGTGGTTTCTTATATTAGATTTTTTTTTTGTCACAGCTTGAAGAAATTCCCAAATGTTCAAAATCTTTATAATTATAATACGTACATTATATTATAGGTTTGGTACTGTTATTGGCTTATGATGTCATTCTTTCTTTATGGATATTGAATTAGTTATATATGTTTGAGTAGTTGTAAGACTGTCTAACGTATACTTTGTTACACTGTTTATAGTTTCTGTTATTGTTTTATGCTGTATGTGAAAATTAAGTAATAAAAAAGAAAAAAATTAAGACTAAAACATTCGCTTAAAATGTTCCATTGGACTGTACACTGCAGTCCAAACAAATTTAGCAATGTAGATTCTTCCCTTCCTTACATTTGAAAGGACTTTTCAAATATTTTATTTTCTCTGATTCTGAGTATTCTCATTTGTAAGGAAACACAGATAGTGGGATTGTAGGCAGTTTATATATTTTAAAAAGAGACAAATCTGGTGATGTTTGTACATGTAAAGATGGGGTTGTGTAGGCCTGGACTGATGTTCTGTAGTATATGTTCTGGCCATGTTCTGTAGTATAGCTGTGTCACATGTAAGCCATCCTTCTGATAAAGTACTGTAAATCTTTCTAACCGTTGCATAGATGTGCACATTTTGATTAATGCTGCATATATTTAATACATGTCGCAATATGGATTTGCATAATTCCATAGTAATAATACTTGTCCAAATGCATATCCAGTGTGTACCGAACACATACACATATATCCAGGACACATCAATGGAAAATGGGTTAAAAAAATAGATGTCTAGTTCTGTTCCACGACATGGACAACTCAAATCAGAATGCAGTATTCTGGGAAGAATTTCTATCCGTGAAGACAGCACTGTTTACTTTCTCATACCTACTTAACTAAAGCAAACTATTTAATAACAACCTGAGATCTTAAAATGTAAAGAAATTACAGTGAGGCCCCTTCTGGTAACATTTGTAGTATGTGCTCTATGTGGAATTTTGTTAAAGGCAGTTATATCTTTCTGAAAGGTAGGTGGCTAGAGAAAGTGTGCTCCCCAAAGACTCCTAAAGATGTGCCATCTGTCAGAAGCAAGGAAGCTCTGCCACCTTTATAATTAGCATCTACCGGTACCTAACACCTACATTCTAACACCTACTGTATCATACTGTTCCTGAGAACAAATGTGTTTGCCACAGTATTGAACATGCTTTTCTACTGATGCGCTCCTACGGAGTATCATTCTGAACTAAGAAAAAGATGCAAGTGTTTACTCCAGAAAGAAACCATAATGACATCTCAGAGGACCATGAGTGTAAACAAATTTCATTTCTACTCCCCCCCCACTACTATAGATCCCTGCATCATTTTTCAGAAATGCCTGTTCTCTCAAGATGGAATAGTGCCAGCTCTTCCCATTCTCATCCCAATGCACCAAAAAGGTCAGTGTTGGTCTGATTTCACCATTTGTAGTTCTTATGTTGTAAGCTAAGGACCATCTAAGGAGATGTGAGCAGTTGGTAGATGATAACATGAGCTCCTTGTATTCATTTCTAATTGAATGCGTGTATGCAATTTGATTGACTTCTTCTTTCTTAGACAGCACTGTTACAGGATGTGTCTGGTTGTCCTTATGAGGACGTGTGTCTGTCTATGATATTAAGATACTCTCCAGATGCTTCTCTTCCGTCTGAGCTGCCTACACATGCACCAGCTTTTGCTGAGAGACTTTGTCTTGTTTTAGTTAAAACGAGAAGGCCTAAAACATTCTACAGATACCCAAACCACCTGCTTGTCCAAATTCATTCTGTTCTGCACGAAATTTCATGTAACTGTATGTAGCTAATATCCTATTTATCAAACCTTCTGTTTTCACAGATGTTCTGGATAACTCTGCGTTCGGATGAACAGTCTATTTGCTTAGCCAACAATCTAGAAAACTGGCTGCGGCTTTGGGAGAGAGGAAGCACATGGAATGCTTTCTCTTTTTCTAGCTGAAAGCTCTGTTGTGCACATGGAGCTGATGTGCCTGCTTAAAGGAGTAGGCAAGATCTGTCCTGCTCTCCTTGAAATTGTTTGGCATCATCTCATTCACTTCAGTTAGGACAAAGGAAGAATGACTGGTCCTTTCATTAACATTTCATGTATTTGGTTAGAAGCTGAATTTGGGAAGAGTTTGGCTATTTTCTTTCTTGGTGTTGGCAATTACAGAGTTGCTGAGCGATGCAGGGTATGCCAAAGGAGCTACTGAGCACCATTTCTTCCATTAATGTGATGAATTTCAGGGAAACCTGGCATACAATGAACTCCTATTCCAAATGTCCAAGAGTCTTCATGGATTCAAATATAGCTATTTGAATAATAGATAGATTGTAGACGTTGGTGACTGGAGATCCTTGGGATACATATTAAAACAGATGTGTATTTTGCCTTGACCTGGATAGCCCAGGCAAGCCCGATCTCGTCAGATCTCAGAAGCTAAGCAGGGTCAACTCTGGCAAGTACTTGGATGGGAGACAGCCTTGCAATACCAGCAATCGGGAGGCGGGGGCAGGCTTTATTCAGCCACCTCTCTGAATATCCTCCAGGTCCCCAGTAGGGGTCAGTCACCAGAGGTCACCATGACTTCCAGGAGCACACACACTCATGCACATATGAAAAATACCAAAAAATACCTACACCCCCCCCCATGATGTGTATTTCTAAGGGCTAGTTCATGTGTTACAAAGTCCTCATGTCCACCATAGGCCCTGTCAAGTCACCAGCTCAGGGAATTCCATATCTAGACCTCAGTTCCATATTCAGGCATGCACAAACCCAATTTAGACCATGGCACATGTCGGTACAGTGGGCTTGAACCTCCCCCCCCCCCATGCCAAATTTCTGGATTGGTCTCAAGGAGACACTAGTTGCATTTACTGATGACACAAAGTGGTTCCCTCAAAGCCGTTTCAGGTTTGGAAAATGGGATAAGGCTTTAGCCCCTTTCTTCCAACCTGATCAGAATTGGGCCTATGTATGCCTGGGAATTACATTGTGAATGTGGAACTCCCAGAGCACATCTGTCAACAAGACCTTCAGCAGGTCCGGATGTTCAAGTAAATGAAGTTGAACTATATTTTCTACTTATTTTGTCTGGAAACATTCAATTACAGATTTCACAGTAATCTGTAGATATTCAGACTCTCAGCCTAACTCTGTCTTCTGCCTACAGAAAAGCCATCAGATTTGTCTAGCTACATAGTGCAAATATGGTTGGAAGAGGAAAACTATATAGTTGGTTATTAAAATGAGTGATCACATCAGTAAAGCACCAAAGCTTTATCTCGATGTTTTCTCTACAGTGTCACTGAATGGCTGGAGTTCTCAGCGAAGGATCCAGTTGAAATTTTGCTGGATTTGGGGTTTGGCATGGATGAACCTGATATCTGCACAAAAATCCCTTCTCGATTCATTAGTTCTGCATCCATGGCTAAAGGCATCAATATCCGGGTCTTCATAGAAGCTCAAAGGCAGCGCATGGATGTAGAATCCCCAAATTTATGTGGTAAGTAAATGTTTCAGAATATCTGTTTCCTATCCTTGTGTTTAGTTTAGCTTACTTTCAAGCACTGGGAGATTACCAGAATGCCCCCTGGTATGAGTTTCATACAAGCTGACAAAGGAGAAAAAATTAAACAGCCATCTTATCATCCTGTAGTCCCAGATGTGTCTTTTCAACTACATACAGGCAAAAGATGTATTAAGTCTTATACCTTCAATCAGAAATTCAGCTAATATCAAGAAACATGTGCTCTAACTATAGGAAGAGAATTTAATACCGGATCTGGTTTGAGATTATCAGGGGTCATTTCGTAGAAAAAGAGGGGCAGGAGCTCATTAGCATAGCTCATTAGCATAACTTAATTGCATATGCCACACCCCCTGACATCACCGGAAGTGTGTCAGAAGGCAACATCCACCGCTCAGGCTCCACTGGACTGTTTTGGATTGCTAGCTATTGGCAGGGGGGGGGGGGGGATGTGCAGATCTGTCCTCACAGAGGAGGGAGAGCATGTACCTGAATAAAACTTGGTCTTAAAGGTGCCACTGAACTGTTTTGGACTGGGGGGCCGGGGGGGGGCTCTGCAACTTACCTGGCTGCTTCTTGCTCTGACTGAGGGCTGCTGGGAGCAGGGGGTGGGGCTTGTTGCATGTGCCTGCCCCCTGGGCTCTTTACTGCTGGAGCTCCGCTCCTGTGCGCTCCTGCAGGAAATGACCCCTGGAGATTATGGTATTAACCTTCAAAGCCCTATGCTGTCAGGGACCAGCATATCTACAGGACCTTGTACTCCACAGACCAACATCTTCTGTTAGTGCCCTGCCCAAAAGACGTCAGCTTAGCCCCAACCAGGACCCAGGCCTTTTCTGCCTTGGCCCTGACCTGGTGGAACATGCCCCCACCTGAGATCAGGGCCCTGCAGGATCTATTACAATTCCACAGAGCCTGCAAAATGGAGCTGTTCTGCCAGGCCTTCGGTTGAGGCAGTGGACATCCAATCCATCCTGGCCTCCCCTGCACACAGTCCTCTGCACGCACTCCAGGTAGAGTTGCCAGCTCTGGTTTGGGAAATGCTTGGATATTTGAGGGCTATGCCTGGGGGGGGTGAGTTTGGGGAGAGGAAGGGGAGGTAGTTTAGTGGGAACGTGATGCCATGGCGACCACCTTCTGGAACCGACATTTCCTGATTTCTGTAGCCTGGAGATTAGTTGTAGTTCCAGGAAAACTGCAGGTCCTGCCTTGTGATGGGTAACACTAATCCCAAACTACTCCCGAGGGTCAAGGAACCCCCAGGAACAGAGTGGGATGCACTCGGTGGGCTAAAGGCTGAGTGAAAGTCAGCAGAAGTCACTGTCCTTCATTTTTGGGAAAACTCTTCAGTGATGGACAACTTCCGGGAAACCTTCCTTTGTGCTATAATCCTGTACCACAGCAGAAGGGATAGATTTATTCTGTGAATTCCTTCCATTCAGATTTTGTAGAATACAATTGTGCCTGGATTTTTTTAATCGGGGGGGGGATATGAGAGTGTGAAAAAACCTACCCTCCGAAAATGAGCCACAGCTATTTCCCCCCCACACTTTGTAGTTGTGGTGGAAACTATTTTATTTTACACCTTTGTGTACTCCCTATCAACATTCTTGAGAAACAAAAATAGTCCAATTGTTTAGTCCAAGGTGTTCCTGAACTGATTAATTTCCTGTTACACTCAGCTTTTATACAATCCATTTGGAAACCTTTCCTTTTTTTTTTTACAAAAAGTGTTTGTCTATTTAAGGAAAATACTCATTACAAGTCGATCAAAGCAGATGACCTTATTCAAGTGAAGCCCAGTTGTGGGTTTGAAAACAGGTGTATCTATGTTTCTGTTGGTTATGAGGAAATGATTGTCCTTTTTTTTTTTTTTGAAGCCCAGCCAGACCTGTAGCTACAGTGGGGCATCTCGGGGCCTGGCCCCCTTACTTACTGCCAAGGCCCCCTTGACTTTCAACACATGATTGATTTCAGCGGCCTCTCTTTTGTTGCATATGCATGTCCGTAACATGGAGTTCAGCCCTCAGCTATTACAGCACTTGCTGGAAAGGGGAGGGAATCTTTCCACATTCTCCAACAAATGGAGCTTTTTTCGAGGTTCTAGCAGCAGAGGACCTATGATATACCCTTGATTGAAAAACAGTACACTCCTTCGATCTGGGATGGTTGGCCTCTTCCACTGAGTGGGCAGCTTCAGGAGGGATGCACATGGAGCAGTGAGGGAGGTAGGGAACACCTACCTAGCCAGCCGGATAAGCCAAGTCAAATCTGGCAATCAGTGGGGTGACAGATATCACAATCAGGTCACCCTCACATCTCCTGCCCATACTTTCAGAAAGTGCCCTTTTTAGGTACCTCATCTATGCTTTAATTCTTTTTGCTGCCCCTTCAACTCCAGTTGATTCCTTTATTCTATTTACTTCTCCCCATATATCCTCAAATTTCTGTTAACTGCTTGGGTATAACAAGTTCAATCATCAATATATGTGGGTTTGGCAGGGGGGAGGGGCCAAAGTGCATGTTTGCCCCAACAGTGTGTGCTGTTATGCACAAACGCCACAAGGACGGTTCTTTCCTCCCAATTTGCTTTTGCTGTTCTCTGATACTTTTCTTCTGGTGTTTATGATTGACAATGGAGTGTTATTGGGAAAAGGTTGACACCGGATCAGACAAACCATGCCATTTTGGCCTATGATACAGGAGGGATGGCAACAAAGAAAGTTTTCTGTGTCAGCAGAATCTCCTTCAGTTCAGCTGTTCAAGAAGGTTCACGGGCTATGAACTGACTGAAATTCTTTGCTGATAAAATCTCTCACATCCAGTACGACTTAGATGCCAGATTTAATGCCAGTAGTGTCTCTTATGATTTTCACAGGGAAAAATTTGGTTAGATCTCCCTCACAAAGGTGGGTCATGAAGATTACCCACCTGCAAAACCAATTCTTGCCTGTACTGATTCATTGCATCCTTTTTGTTGTTATTCAGTCGCACAGTCGAGTCTGACTCTTCACGACCCCATGGACCACATCATGCCAGGCCCTCCTGTCCTCTGTCGTCTTCTGAAGTCCGCTCAACTTCATGTTCGTTGCATCAATAACACTATCTAACTATCTCATCCTTTGTCGTCCCCTTCTTCTTTTACCTTCAATCTTTCCCAGCATCAGGGTCTTCTCCAGTGAATACTCCCTTCTCATTTGGCGGCCAAAGCTTCAGCTTCAGTATCTGGCCTTCCAGGAAACAGTCAGGGTTGTTTTCCTTTAGGATTGACTGATTTGATCTCCTTGCAGTCCAAGGGACTCTCAAGAGTCTTCTCCAGCACCATAGTTCAAAAGAATCTATTCTTCAGCGCTCGGCTTCCTTATAGTCCAACTCTCGAAGCCATACATGACTACTGGGAATACCATTGCTTTGACCATACGGACTTTTGTTGGCAGGGTGATGTCTCTACTTTTTATTATGCTGTCAAAGTTTGCCATCACTTTCCTCCCAAGGAACAGGCGTCTCTTAATTTCATGGCTGCAATTACCGTCTGCAGTGATCTTGGATCCCAGGAACGTGAAGTCCGTCACTGCTTCCATGACTTCCCCTTCTATTTGCCAAGGAGTGATGGGGCCGGATGCCATGATCTTAGACCTACAATACCTCCTAGAACTAACATTGCATCCTACCAGGACAAAATTAGCGGAGAGGCTGAAGGGTCTGGGACTTCTCAGTTTTAGAAAAGAGACAACTAAGGGGGGACATGATAGAGGTTTATAAAATTATTCATGGGGTGGAGTGTTGACAAATAGAACTATTTCTCCTGCTCCCAAAATACTAGAAGTTGAGGGCATCCAGTGAAGCTGATGGACAGTAGATTCAGGATGGACAAAAGGAAATACTGCTTTAAACAATAGAAAAGAGAGTCCAGTAGCACTTTAAAGACAAAAAAAAATGTGCTAGGGTAGGCACTTTCATGAGTCACTGCTCAGTTCTTCAGCTACAGATAGTCACATTCTAGACTCTTTTCTGGCCTCTTACTCTTTTCTATTCCTACAGACAGACTAACACAGCTACCCATCTTAATCTTGCTTTACACAGTGAATGATTAAAATGTAGAATTTGCTCCCAGACGATGTAGTGATGGCCATAGACATAGGTCCCGATCAGACGGGTTTTTAGATCCGTGCCAGGCACTCGTGCCTGATGGATTTAAAGGTCATGACCAGACAGCAACATCTGGGAAATGTGCCTGTTCTGTGAGCATCCCATTTTGCCGTGCGTCGGAGCCATACTTAAAAAATACTAGTTAAAATCTGAGGTTTTCGCCTCCTGATGAGCCAATTGCAGACTTTCCCCCGTCTGATCATTCCAGCGCACAATCCTCCAGTTGGGATGGTCTGAGCGGGCACCATTAAAAAAAATTCTTAGTGATATGCACATAAACGTGTAGACGCGCAACAGCCACAGAGCTCCGCTCAAACATTCTGGACAATTTCATGTTTCTAAACGGACCGTGAATTTTATGAACTGCATTAATTAAAAAGGTACCTAGAGAGAGGTACCACTGGTGGTGCTTTAACCATTCAACTCCACGCATGGACGGAAAAACAAGTACACGTTGAGGCATGGATGTGCATACACAAACAGATTTTTTTTCCAAAAAACCCCAACCACGTGGCTCCTTCAGGTGGATGCCGTCTAGACAATCCACCGTGGAGTACGCATGCAGTAAGGGGAGCTGTCTGGACGTGCAACACCAGATAAAAAAGATCAGGATCAAATTAGAGCCGGGCCAATTGCGGTATTAGCTGCCCATCTGAACGTACCCATAGATAGCTTTAAAATGGGAATAGACAGATTCATGGAGGATAGGTGTATCAGTGGCTACTAGCCATGGTGACTAAAGGCAACCTCCACATTCAGAGGCAGTAAGCCTCTCTCTTATCCAGGAGGATAGCATCCAAGAGGCAACATCAGGGAAGGCCTCAGCCTCTGTGCCCTGTTGTTGGACCTCCAGAGGAACTGGTTGTCCACTGTGTGAGACAGGATGCTGGACTAGATGGACCACTGGTCTGATACAGTAGGGTTCTTCTTATGTTCTTATCATAAATTCGTCTCTGATTAGGAGGAGTTTCCTAAACCTTTTTTAAAAAGCTTTAAAGAAGCCTTCTCTACCTACAAATGATGTGGCCAGTTAGAGTTCAGTTTCAGGTTTGACATTTTGGGGCAAGGTGATTGAGCTGATGATGGCAGAGCAATTCCAGACATACCTGAATGATACCTCTAGGTACTTTTACAGAGATATGTAGTTGTATCATAACTAATTATTTATCTTATGTGGGAAATGTGTATGCCACCTCACTGGAGATCTGTTCAAAGCCCAGAATGAACATTTCTATTTGTTAATATAGTTATTATGCCAAATCCACTTAAAAAAATTAATGATTTCTGGTAGTAATAAGGAAATACGACATTCCATTCTGCCTACATTCTGATTGCTCTGGGACAATTTCTAAAACTGATTTTGGAATTGCTACATGTACATGGGCTACCGATGGGCGGAAGCATACTTATCCTTTGATTGAAACACCAGACGAAAAGAACTTTGATGTGACTCTCTATTGCACTAGGATTCCTTTTGGTGTTGTGATTTGATCAGTATTCACAGGTGCATGGCATAATGATTAAATCATAATGCAAAAATGGAATGTTCATGTGTGTTCATATCAAGAATCCTTTTTGTCCAGTAGATTAATCCCGTAGATTAATCCACCAACAGAAGGCAGTGATGGTCATCATGGACCTTTCCCATGTTCACCTTCTCCCAGAAGTATTTTCCAACACCAAGGAAGTTTATTCCTGGGGTCATAGGACCAACATGGGATTTTAGCTGTGCAGGCCAGGAAGCCACAGTGGAGAGAAAGAAGGGTACAAAAATTCTCTTCTTAGCTCTTCCATCTTACGGAAGAGGGAAAGCAGAGCAATTCTGATCCCTTTTCCCTACCCACTGTGGCTTCACAGTCTGCATGGTGGTTCACACAAGCTAAGGAATAAGCCTTCCTGGGGTTGGAAAGGGCGGTTACAGAGAGAAGAATGTGGGAAAGATCAGTGATTGTTGCTTCTATGGATTTCAGAATCCAACCAAATATATGCATGTGCTTAGGTTACAACAGTAAACTATTAGAAACTGAAAATTGCAGTAAAATTTCAAAACCTAGAATGATAGACAACAAATGCATTGGTACTGCTCCTCAAACAAGACCAGGCCATAAGCACGTTTGAGAAACACCCCTAGAATACATTCTTCATGTACGCCCCCTTCTGAAGAAGCATTAATGACACTCACAAAAGGTGTGCCGTTTGTCTTGCAGCACCCAAGAAAGACAGTCAAAAATTTCAGCAGTTTCCACTCTGTTTGTACCACTGATTCATTCAAAGAAACATCAACACCCTTGAAATTCAAGAAAGATGAGAGTAACAACACAAGTCCGTATGTGTTATTACATCAGTGTTTTCTAGATGGATCACATTCTAAAACTAAAAGGGCCTGAAAACATTTGTAAGCTCACATTGTACTCAGTAAAGCCCACTGAAATCTCTTTGAATAATATTTATCCTACCAATAAGTAAGCTTTAACAAAAACCTATATGAAAGTACAATGTATGAATTGCAGTACATTTTATAAGAAGTCATATTTCTTCCTGTTGCTCTGAAACTAAGAATACAGCCATTAGGGTTTCTAGTGGTTAATACAATGAACTAGTCATTGAATCAACTGAGGTATGTAATTGCTGTTAATAAACATTGCAAAGTATTCTTGGACAACAGCCATGTCTAAGTGCCTGAAAGGGTTTTTTTCATTATGACCATCTCTGATTCAGAGTTGTTTCCTGCAAGCACCTATTCAACTACATTATGATACGTGCATAGAAAGTAATATCCAGCATTGGTATGGAAATGAGACTCTCACCCAGTTTTTGTTATGTTGTATTGTGCTTATGGAAGTAAAGCTTCCGACATTGATTGGCTAAACTTGCATGATGGCAGAGACTATTTGTAACGCATCCAGTTGCCCAGAAGAAGCTGTTGCAATATTTGTAGTCAGTTTTCTGTAAGGGCAGTTAAAGTTGTCAATCTGGCTGGGGCTGAAATTTTGAATCTATCACAAATTGAGTTTGTGGGGCTGCCTAGTTAAAGGCCAAGTTTAAAAGTCAATAATAAAACTGGGGAGCAATCTGAAGCGGGTCTATTCAGAAGTAAGTCATGTGTTATTCTTCATGGAAAGTGTTTTTAGGATTTCAGTCTCAGTCTTGGAATCAGCACTCAGTTTTATAAATTCTAAAAACATCACTTCCAGTATTTCTAAAAATGTAATATATAAGAGAGTAGAACAATTCTGTATCTCAACTGCAAATTCAAGTTTCTGCTTCTAAAAAACAGAAAGAGATTTCCAATAATTTGTGAAAACAGGCATCTGAAAGTTGAAGGTAGATTCTTGGTGTTGAAAGATTGAAGACCACTGATTTAAACTACCCCAGAAATTGCCTGGGGTTCACAAGTCAGCAACTCGAATATGGCTAGAGTAAAAGAGCTTCTAAATGTGAGGGGGTGATCTGCTATTTAGGCTGGTTATTTCTGCCATGTGTATATGGTGGATGGAAATCCTTTAGAGATGTTAGCTTTTACAGACGTGCAAGTGCTTAAACATATGATTGGCCCATTTCTGTCCAGCAAGGAATGCATCTTTCTCAGTTATTCTAGCTTCTCCTAAGGTCCACACAACTGATTGAAACATTAAGGTCCACACAACTGATTGAAACATGATTCCAGGCCCCCTGGCTGGACATTTTATGCTTCACCTTCAATTTAGGTGCAATAGTGGAAGGTCATTTTATGCTGGACATTTTATGCTTCACCTTCAATTTAGGTGCAATAGTGGAAGGTCAAATGGCTTCACAGGGGAAATTTGAGGTGGGGTATGGTTTTTGTTGAAGATTTTTCCCTCAAGAATTGGAATTCATGCCCGCAAATACTGGAAGAGGGATCAAAATGGCTGATAAACTACTCAGTAAATCTACTATAACTCCATTATGAATGATCATACAGCATCTAGGCATGGCTCAAATGAAAGGTAATTTTATGCTCGTCAGTGTTTATGCAAGGTGTGAACTGATTAAAAAAAAACCAATTAAATCAGTATATTCAGAAATAGGGATCCAGGCCCCTGGTCTGGGCAGTGGTTTTGTGGGCCCCTTTCCGGGGGGGGGGGGACCTGCCTGGAAATGGTCCCCAATGCAACATAATGATGTCACCTGGAAGTGATGTAATCACATCACTGATGTTGGGGGCTAAGCTCTAGTTTTTTGGGGGGAAACTCTATGGTAAAATTGGGCTCAAACAATAGAGTTTTGCCCAAAAACCAGAGAGTCGTCCCCTGGCATTGGCAGCGTGATGACATCACTTCTGGATGATCCCAGAATGGACCGGGAGCCCCCCCATTGGAAGCTAGGCAACTCTATTCAGAAATAACCCCATTAAAATATATCCTATACATGTCGAAACCTTTTTTGGTTTTTTCATTATGTACTTTGAAGTGCAGCTCTGTATATCCCAACAAAGCAGCTAGAAATGAGTTAGGAGGATGCTGACAGCATTTGACATCCAGTTGAACTGCACCTGAGCGCTTGCCGTTCCATGCCAAATCAGCAACGTGTGGCACCTGAAGGGCACATTGCAATCATGGATTTTGATGAGACTTCAGAGATTTACCATGCTTTCATCTTTGTCTAACTTAAGGGCGTTTCCGGCAACTGCAAGTCCTGGACCATGTGACCAGCGCCTTTTCTTCTTTGCTGAATGACATCAACCTCATGCAGCAGAATACAGAGGATGGAAATGGAGAGGGGAAGGGGGTGGTGGGCAGCCCAGCGGGCAGAGCTGTGGTCTCACCAGCCAAGCGGAGAAGAATAGGTCAGCTCCTGAGAAAAGTGTCTCAACAGTCGACGCATGGCCCTCCGGCTTACCGAAGTGTTGGCACACCTGTTGTTGATGTGGACAAATGCGTAGCAGGCAGGTCTGCCTTATGTGAAAACACTGCCTTGGACTCTCTCAAAGAGGAGATCCTTCCCAGTGAGGAGGAGGAGGAGAAGGCTCAGACTGTATCTCTTCCTGCACAGCTCATCGCAAGCAAAACTCGGGTGTTGCCTCATCTGCCTATTAAACAGACCCATTTTCTTTCAACCTCCGAGATGCCCACTAAAGACAGATCACGCAAGGAGCCCAGTTTGCTTTTGAACCACATGCTCAAGAGGGTTTCTGGCTTAAATGGCAAGCCTTCAGATTCCTTTGAAATGGAAGAGGTAAGACAAATGCGTTGCATATGAGGGTGCATATGAAGCAGGGAGGGTAGTCAGCTGTTATTGGAAAGGTAGCGGCTAGAGCAGATTGCTTTCACCTCGGACACAGGGCTATTTTTGGGCAGGAACGCACAGGAACGGAGTTCCGGCTGGCTCCTGAGTTGGCCACGCCCAGCAGGAACTCATTAGCATAATAGGGCACACCCAACAGCAGAAACTCATTAGGATCGGCTACATTAGGGGTGTGTGGTCTAACATGCAAAGGGTTCCTGCTACAAAAAGAAGCCCTGGGTTTTGACAACAAACAAGGTAAACAGAATAAGAAGCAAAAGGTGGGTGTGGCTGGATGACAACACTTCTGGTGACATATGGGGTGTGGCCTAATATGCTAATATGCTGTGCTGTCAGGATGTGGCCTACTATGCTAATGAGTTTCTGCTGTTGGGTGTGGCCTGTTATGCTAATGAGTTCCTGCTGGGCTTTTTCTACAAAAAAAAGTCCTGCTCGGACATAGCTGCAACTCAACATTCAGGCACTGCAGGGGATGGAAAAGGTGGTTAAAAGTCACAGCTGTAGTGTTTTCTCTCCTGAATAAGACAAGACATTAGAACACCAGTTGGGTCAGGGTTCTCCCAGCCCCACTTCCCTTCCCTTCAGCTTTATGGCAGCTGCAGGGAACTTACTTCTCCAAGCATCACAAGGCCTGATTTAGAGCAAGACGACAGCACGGGGAGGAACAGAAGCTATTGCCTCTGCCAGCACCATTTTCCCGAGCCAAACAGCCCCAGAGTCATTGTTTGCCATGTTGCAGGGCTGCACATGTAGTACTTAGTGTCCATGCAGCCCTTCCCCCCTATCAAGGGTGCAAATGATGCCCTGCTCTAACTTGTTTAGACTCCCAACCCAACTCATAAACGAATGTCTCATCTGGTTTGAGCCTTACCTCCATCAGTGCTGTTGAATTTGCATAACCTTTGACCCTCATAGCCAGTCACAGCCCACTTGTCAGGGCCGAGAGCCCATGAATGGCTCTATGGACTTCCCGATTTGGTCCTTGTCTGCAGTTGCATAAGGGGAGGGCATCTTGCCCCTTGCAGGCTACAGGTAGGGGGAGCCACAACTGGTGAGTCAGCAGTTGTGCAGTTCTAGATTGCATTGCAGTGGATATCACTAGGAAAACATTTAGGGCACGTCTGTGGGTCAATAGTGTCACGAGAAATGGCATGTCTAATAGATCCTGACTATGAACTGGAGACTTGAGCTCTGTTTAAAAAGCAAACAGGCAGGGGAACCAGCAACCAAGCAACATCTGGAAGGTTTAGAATTGTTTTTGTTTGAAATCTTAATGTTGAGCAGAAGAAATATACTTTTAATAATGAAAACAAGCTGCTTTGAGTAGTGTTTCTCTCCCCCACCCCTTGTCTCAGATCCAGAGCTTTGAGGATGAATCTTCATGGGGAAATCCTCTTGAAAGCACTTCAGGTGGGTATTAGCAAATATAATCGCTCTATATATTTTTACAAATTTGCCATGCTGGGGAGCTTTAGAGATATAAATGCCTGAGATATGAAGTGGCTGGACAACTGAATGCTCTCTCACAGCCTTCTCTCCCCAGTGTCATTACTCAACAAATTAATCTCTGTACTGTTTTGAAGGAAAGCTTTTTTTGATTTTGCAGTGATCAGATGCTTGCTAAAAACTTGCTATACGCAAGGGGAGGACCAGATGCTGAGGGAGAACTTTCTTTTGCAGAGTTGTAAGAGAAAATGATGTTTAGAACAAGGGAAACAGTCGGTCACCCTCAGCAAAATGGACTTTTAAAATGATTAATTAATATAAATGATATGGGTTAATCCTATAAGAACTCTTGTTTTCTTGATGGGTGGGCAAGTTAAAGATGTCTAAGAACACCTGGTGAGATCATGGCTAAGATGTCACCCAAGGATTTACAGCTCATAGGTTATATCTTTCAATGCTTTACTACTTGAATTCTGAATAGTCATTTAACCTGTGAAAGCAATATCTTTTTTTTTTTTTGAAATTTATTTTCATTTTCCACTATAACAAAAGTTCATATCATATCACTTTCACTTTCGGTTACAACTTATAATATCCATTACGTCTTTCACCTTTAACGACTTTTATATCATACTAGCAAAAATTCAGTTTTGATTTATCTTTTTCATCTTCAGCCAGTCATAAAATAGTTTCCATCTGTCCCAAAAAAGTTCCTCTAGTTTATTTTGTAGTGTTGTATTTAGCTTATCCATTTCAGCTATTCCCATCACCATATTTTTAAGTTCTATTATAGATGGTATTATTTTGGATTTCCAATGTCTTGCTATAAGGATTCTGGCTGCCGTTAATATATATACAATTATCTGTGTATGTGATTTAATGTCTTCCGGTAACATATTTAGTAGCCAAATTTCTGGCTCTAGGGGGATATTTATTTTTGTAACGTGCAGGGGGATTTTTGCAATTTTTCTCCAAAACTTCTGGATTTTGTCACATCTCCACCATACGTGGAGGTATGATCCTACGTTCTTCCCACACCTCCAACAGATGTTGGATGCTTTTGGGAGACATTTTGCGACTTTCTCGGGGTTCCAATGCCACCTATAGAACCTTTTATATATATTTTCTTTGTATTGCATGGCTTTCATAAATTTTAAAAATCCCCATGTTGCAGTCCATTGCTTTGCTTCTATTGGGTGTCCAATCTCTTTTATCCAGGCTAACATGGATGTCTTTATAGTTTCTTCTCGCAAAAAATCCGCTATTAATATAGTATAGATCTTCTGAATAAGTTTATCGCTGGAGGATAACCAGATTTTATCAAATTCATTTAAGCTAGTGTGGAAGAACCGGAACACTCTTTAACTTATCTATTAGAAGATATTCAGGAATTTGGGAAAATAGCCAGCTTCAGAATCAATATTTCAAAAACTAAAATTATAGCAAAAAACTGCCCACAAAACCTCTTTTTGGCACAAAATTTACCAATAATTAGGAATTATAAGTATTTCAAGGATTTGGAGAAAATTGTAAGTGACTTTATATGGCGATCCAAAAAACCAAGAATAAAACTGAAGTATCTTCAGGATTCTAAAAAGCAAGGAGGTTTTGTGCTACCAAATTGGCAATTGTATTACTTTGCAAGGTCATTGGTATGGATAAGGGAATGGGCAAAGTTAGAAGATACTAGAACATTAGCATTAGAGGGATCGGACCTAGTAATGGGTTGGTATGCGTACCTATGGTACGGGAAAGACAAAATTCATTCAAATTTCCACACACACATAATAAGAAGCTCTCTCATAAAAGTTTGGAATTTAATTAAATATAAAAATTATATTAAAATACCAATATGGATTTCGCCAATTGAGGCATTTGCAGAACCTTCCCTAAAAAGAGGAAATATTAAAGAAATATACGGGAATCTATTAAATAAAAAGGTGGAGCTAAAATCAGATGAGATATTATTAAAACAAAACATAAAACTGTCCTGGTGGGAAAAAAAAATATGAAAGCGATCTCTTCATACTGGAGCATTCAAATTTGCTCTTGGTTGTGAGTTCTGTAAGTTTGAAGAGCTGCCAAAGACTCTAGAGAACTGGAACAATAGATGCAAATTATGGTGGACTCAGCTGACCCAGCCACACACATATACAAACCGATGAAGGGTGGAAGGGATTTATTACCAGCTGGGTCCATGAGCACCTCCAAGGTCTTAACCTGCTCTGCAAAAGCCACCTCCACTCCGTCCACTACAAGAGGATGCAGGCCCTCTAAAACCTCACCCTTCCTTACCTATCTGGATTCTGTGATAGAATTGCTCAAGTAGATATGAGGACATACCTGGCACTATGGCTTGTTGAAAGTCTGCGTCCCCACTGATTAGGTCTGAGGAGGCTGGATGACCATCTTTTGGGTATGTTGTAGGTACGTAGGGCTATCTTTCAGCTATGCTCCTTCAGAGTGCAGGGGGGTGGACTAGACGACCTGCAAGGTCCCTTCCAACTCTAACATTCTATGATTCCATGATTCTATGATTCTCATGAGTACTTGCTTCAGATTGTGAAGCCACCTATAAAGAAAAACAGGTCTTTCCCACAAGGCATATGAGTGGGAAATGTTATCGTACAGGAGGGGACTATGGAGGATACCCTGAAACGTTTAAATCTGGAAACTATGGATCATTCCACCTGTCTGCATGGTCAAAAAGGCAATGGACAACATTGCTTCTCAAAACAATGATGAAGTGCTGCGGGGGTGGGGAAGATTAATTTGCATCTGCTTGCATTTTATGATGTTATGTGCAGAAATTCATCTTGTATATGTTGTAAATACACAGGTTTTCCCCAGTATACATAGGGATTATCATTCTCTGATTATCAAGAGCCAGCTGTGGTGAAGTGGTTTAGAGCGGTAGATTCTAATCTGGAGAACCGGATTCCCCACTTCTCCACATGCAGCCAGCTGGGTGACCTTGGATCAGTCACAGTTCTCTCAGCGCTCACTCCAAAACTCCTTTGGGTAGTGAAGAGTGGGGTATAAAACCAGTTTTTTAAAAAATATGTAGATTATATTAAATTTATATTAAAAACCTTAATTTCATACCATACTGTTCTTAGAAAGCATTTGTTTTAAAAATAATTTCATTCAATCCAGAATGAAAAATATTTCATGAGGGTTTTTTTTAATTACCAAAAGTGCTAAGGTAAAAAATGCCCATTTCCCAAAAATTTCAAGGGTTTTTTTTGGGGGGGGGGGCGGAGGGAGGTCTCTCAGCCTTTGGTCCAAGCCCTCACCTGCCTTAGGAATTAGTAATGGCTGTTAGGAGCATGGACTACCATACATTTTTCTTCCCTCTCTGAGTCACAATCGTGCATGAGACAACTGGTCTCGTAGCAGAATGGACTACATCATTTCATACAGGAGATTACACTATTTAATGCTTCCCTATGCAGAACGCCCCCCCCCCCTCCACAAACATAAAATCAGCAGGGATGTTATGTGTGAAATAAAAATGGCAGATGAAGTACCACAGAGAGAGTGTTCAAGTCATCTCACATGGCTTCAGACGTGGAGCTTTTCAGTCATAAAAATTCACAGTGACATACTTTGGGATATAAGGTGGTTGTGTTCATAATGCTCCGTTGTATTGTGTGTCACCCCCCCCCCCAAATGCTTGTTCTGCTAATAATTCTTCCAGATTCTACACACAAGCATCGATAGCCCAGACACCTAAAGTTTATGGTGGTGTAAGTTTGTTAATTTTGAATTGCTTACTGTCACTGAAACACATGTCAATGGCTGTGATGATACATGAACTATGAAGCCAGTTGCTTTATAGATGTACGTACAGGTGGCAATAAGGTCCATGTTGCACACATGGACCAACTTTTTCTGCAGTCTCAAAACCAATTAGGGTTTTTGTAGCCAAGAGAGATCATAATTGCCAAGATGCTTCCTAATAGAGAGTTTGCTCATGTCTAGGGATGGGCACGGACCAAAAAAATGGAGGTTCATTGAGGTTTATGGTTTCTGGGTTTCACAACCATGAACCAAAAACTTTCATGAACGTTTCCATTTTACGAACCAGTTTGTGGTTCATGAGGTTCATGATGAGGGGCTTATTTTAAAGCAATTTTAAGGGAACACATCCCTTAAATGGCTTTTGCAGGCCCCTTGCTGACACCACTGTGGCAATGAGGCCATTTCTGCATCATGCCACTGCCACCGTCCAAGGACTGCCCAAGGTTTTTTGGGGGTTCATTTGGTCCATGAACAGTCTATGGAAGTCAATTCAGAAGGCATTTAAATGCCTTCTGAGTCCTAGTATTCTGAGTCATGACTGGAATTCGACTCAGAATGCCTTCTGAGCTCCCTTGCATCAGGCCAGTGTGGTGGCATGATGCAGAAGTAGACTTAAATGCCTTCTGAGTTGACTTCCATGGACTACTCACAGACCAAATGAACCCCCAGAAAACACTGGCCGGTCCATGGGCAGTCTGTGGAAAGCGGGTGGGTATGGACCAGGCAAATAAACTACAAAGCAGGCCCCAGTCTGTGGAAAAATTTGGTCCATGCTCTGGTTCATGCCCATCCCTACTCATGTCTGTTTTTCACTGGAAGCACTGGTTTTCACTGAAGCAGGTCATTTAGTGACAAATGTGCACATGTCCCAGGGCAAGTAGTCTGCAAGGAGCTAGCAGTTCATCTGGGGGACCAGTCAGTTAAGCAGGCAGGCAATAACTGGGTAGTCTGAGGATGGCTCAGCCTGTTTCTGAGGCAGTTGGTTGCTCTGACTGACAAAACAAGTCCAGATTCAGACACTACAGAGGATCAAGTGTAACATTATTGGTCTCACCCAACTCCTGATGGTGACTGCTGGACTACATAACATACCAGACAATACCACTCTAATGGCAGAAAGTGAAGAGGACCTTAAGAGTCTCTTGCTCAGGGTAAAAGAC